AAGCGGTCATTGATAGTCAGGTGTCACATACACGGTTTTAAATCTAAAACTGTAAATAAAAAAAGAAAACAATTTAACAAAGTTAAAAAAACACGCAGCATATTCTGAAATAGTCGAAGAGGGATGGGGGTGTTAGCCTTTTCTTTAGTACAAAATCAGTGTAAGACTCATTATTAGGTTAATAGTGTTAAATTTTCTTCACCTGAATTGATAAAACAGAAAATCAACATTTAAAACCTTTTGCACGGTCTTATCCTAAAAAAACTCAAACATATGGTGCTTAGCAAACTTGAGTAGTATATGCTATTGGAAAGGGAAGATTTTACGGGAAGAGGGTTTTCTTCTGGGGTATTTATGTAACCAGTTCGTGGTCTTGGTATTTCTGTTTATTTTACCTTTTCGCATTTTATTTTGACAAAGTTGTATATTACTTCCCTTTGATTGTTAATTTGAACGATTATTATTCAAGCATTTGGTTTCCCGCTGTTTTTAAATATAATTGCTGTCATGTGACATTGTGATCACTCTAAGGTCAAATTTTTATGGTGACAAGTTGATTATCTATTTATTTCATTATTAACATTTATCTCTCTTTTAATTAACTGTTAATCCTAGGCATTGAGGATTGAGGTTAGAACTTTGGTTGTCTTTTGCTTCAGATTTGCATCTTTTGGGTCACAAATGAGCAATGCTTTATTTGAATGAAGTCATTATTTGAGTTTACATGTACATTTGACATGTACATTGTAATCAAGATTGCTGCCTATATAATTAATAATTTTGTAATTGGTGCGACCACTATTTACTATCCTTTATGTTATTTAACCATTTACAATTAAAGCACTGTGCGAGCCAGAAGAACAGATGAAAAGAGGATATTGTAATAGTTGTTTGTATAAATGTATATATGAAGATCTGATCCACAAGTTGTAAATATGTTATTCTCTACATTGTTTTAGGTTATTATTATGATTATTCTTACATGTATGATATCTGAATCTTTATTTATTGCAATATGCTTATTTACAGGGCTTTAAAGTATATACAGAATAGAATGAAATCAGAATTTGTTGTATTTGAACCCAGGTCTACCGAGTTATTGCTGGCTGGGGCCAATTAGGTCCATTCTTACTATTAGGGCTGGAGCCCACCTGGTCACATTTATATTTCACAAAATGTGGCTTGGCATTATTTTCGGGGTCCTGTCTGAATATATATGTATTGTGGAATGAATAACATTTACTATAAAAAGGGCATCTTCCCCGGACGTTTGCCTCCTTTAATTAAACATAGTCGGAAACTCTCCCGGGGGATTGCCTTTTGACAATATATGATCTCGATCTCGATATAGGTACTTTCATATGTAAAAACATACATTCCATTAAATCTTTTAAAAAGATACTTACCCAAAAAGTATTCCAAGCCCAATTTTCTTAATTATGCATACCCCCAAAGAAATCCCTCTTCCTGGAAAAACTTCCCTTATAGAAATATTTAAAATATTGAAATAGTTTTGCTATTTCTATATATAACCGGATGAAATAACCAGATTATATATAAGGAAACGATAATTTCATTTTGTATGTTTATATATGCTATTGAAAAGGGAAGATTTCCCGGGAATAGGGTCTTTTCGGGGGCCTTTATATGTTATAAAATGGGAATTGACATTGTTTTGGGGGTAGTGTCTGAAAATACTTACTTACGGAATGAACATATTCAATACAACAAGGCAACTTCCCCGGGAAGTTGGCATACGCTTGTTTAACTGCCCTTACTATGTTATATGCCTTGTGCCCTGTATTGTTTTTTTTGGGGGTCCTCCTTGGCACCTTACCAGTGGTTATTGTTGCTGGGTCGTGGGTTGCGTTCATTGGATGCCGCCTTTTCTTGTTTACTATATTTCACGTATTTTAATACAATCATTTTCAATAAGCTTCCTTGATCGTTCTGGTTTTTAATTCATAGTATTATCAGTGACTAAAAATTTTAATTCACATAATTTATCCCTTTTGTGGCACACGAAACAAAAATGACTTTCCCACTTATCCACGCGTAATATTCTTTTTAAAATCCCAAACACATTATTTATACTTGTACGTTTACACATTATAATTATTATACATGTAAAACTTCGTAAGTTGTGGAAGAAACACAGCAATATCTTAATTTTATGTTAGCGTGAAACAAGCCTTTAAAGAACGTAGCCAAAACCAATTTAACCACCAAACACATAGTCCAGCTTTTTTTTCTTGACGTGTTTGAATGGAAATAGATATTGATTCTAAGTGCATTATAATAATGCACGGTTTTTCGTTTAATGCTTTGTAATTAATCAGAGTTTATACCTATTTCCTAAACATAGTGTAACAGCGCGCTAACGATAACGATGCTCAAGATAGTCAATCATGATTATCCCTGACCATCCCAAAAAAATGAAGCCATCATTTTTTCCTGCTGATAGCTCCCTCTTGAATTTCTTCGTCGGGGGTGAGCCAGGGTGCTTCTACTGCATGCTCTGTTTTTTGGATTCTGGATCGAAGTGATGGACCCATGTTTCATCCTGAGTTACGAGCCAGTAGATAAAATCAGGTTCATTCTCGTAGCGAGACAAAAATATCTTGTTTCTGGTTGTCAGTCAACTGTCTGGGGATCCATCTAGCGGAAACCTTTGACATGCCATAGACATCAGTCAGAATTGCCTGAACTGAACCAAAGTTTATACCCACTTCCCTAGCAATGCTTCGCAGGTCTCGCCTTCTGATTTCAACTTTCTCCATTTGGTCTAAATAACAAACCATTCTACTGATCAAAGTGTGTTTTATGTTATATAATCTGTGTAAAACCGCGTGTAACTCAGTCAGTAATCTTCAATATCAATATCTTCAAAGATATTGGTATCGACGTAGCGTGGGTAAATGTCACTGTAGGGGCTAGAAGTATATCGAGAACTTTTTGATCATTCCTCGTACATGAGGGATAATGAAAAAATGCAACATACTTCACGCACACAAAATTTGACACTTAAACGGCTGGAATCAATAATCCTGAAGGACCAGAAATATATAAAATATGATAAACAAGATAAACAAGGAAAGGCGGCCCTACACAGCGGCAAGGACCCCAGGAGGACCCCAAACAAAAACAGGACAGGCGCAATGCAGAGCACGCACAGGCTAATCACTAAAATGATACATGAAAATGCATTATAAAAAATGTGAGCTACCTTGTCAATAATTATGATATTAAATTTTGCATGCGTCTTAAGTAATAAAATACATTTATACATGTAGGATTATACGTCATTCAGCTTAAACCGTGTGACGTAGCAGTTTTGAATGACGTCGTCACTAACGCGAAACAAAACCAATAATGTTCAATTGCATTATAAATCTAGTTTTCTTTGTCCAAAAATAATAAAATTTAACTTGAATGATTCAGAAAAGAATGCATTTTGAGAATCGTTGAAAAAAAAGTAAAATGTCAAATTTGACCACTATGTTGGAAATGTCGGGCCATGGTTCAATATTTTTTGGGATTAGATTTGTAACAAACTTTATGCGAATATCCTAATTGTTTTAATAAAATGAAGACGTGTCAATATTGCATATTAAGGGTCTATACATAAAACTACTTTTTGCACAGCAAAGGTGATTAGTTCTTTTGCAAAAAAAAGATAAATAAGAGTGAAAATCATTCAGATGGATGAAAGTTAAAGATTTTATTATTTAATAAGTAAAATATCGATGAATACCACTAGGAATTACGAGAACGTGTAAATTTAGGGGACATAGCGTTTAACGATCACCACCAGAGTAAACATAAATTGTAAGCTTATAAGAAATTATACAATATATTATAATCATGTTATTCTGAAGAATCAAAATCAGAAAAAATTGAACATTTATTTCATTTTTTTACATCTAGATTCATATGCAAAATAAAGATCTTGTCTGCAACTTGGTGGCGTTTGTAGCACAATGGAAGGGAGTTAAGTGTATAGAATGTCTTTAAAATGAATATATTTGGAATGAAACTATTTTACCTTGTTTATTATTTCTAAGTTAGTAAAATTCTTTATCTTACATTCTTTTTAAATTGTGTAGAATAGTTTGGGCCCTATTAATCAGGTCTTTGCAGCGAACCATTGCCAACATCTATCATCACACACCGAGCTCAACTTTTGTTTATTTGACCGTAAAAAAGAATGACCGTAAAAAGGAATACATGTATTTACAAAATATATCACTACAGAAAGTTGTTTCTCCTGTTTTATTTTATTGAGTATAGAAATAAAAAGCATACCCCTGCAAACAATGACATACATTCTTTATTATATGTAGACTCATCTATACTATACATCTATACAAATATGCAATGAGAACAATGTATAGCCATATAAAATATGATAAACAATATCAACATCAACAAGGAAAGGCGACATTCAATGAACGCAACCCCCACACGACCCGAAAACAGGACAAGGCTCAAGGCAGAGCACGGACAGGCTTATCACTAAAATGATACGTAAGAAGAAATAATTTGTAACTGATAAGGAATTCAAAGAAAACAAATAAATGATTGAATAATAAGACACGTCATATCCCAATTCTTTTATTTTAAACGACTTTAGATAACGAGTTGACGAGGCTATTATTACAAACATGCTTTTATGCGCGTGGGGCATTTAACTTCGAAATAAAGTAATTTAAATATTTCGAATGGAAATTGAAAGAGTAAAGTGAAGAAGAAAAACTGTTAAAGACAATATTTATTGTCTTCAACATTGATATAATACGCAATAAAAAATAGTTTAAGTGACCTAAATGATTGGGAGATACATGTACTAAAATTTAGCTGTGAATACGATAACTTTTCGTTACACTAAAACATTTAAGCTAATGTGTTTGTATTTAAGTCATATAGATCATTTTGAAGCATATTTTCCTTGATTTTATCTCATTTTAAGTGAAACAAAAGAAAAATAACAAAGAAAAAACTTGCTAAATAAGGACATAAAACCCATCTTTATTACAATAGAGACACCTTTTTCTAATAGTAAATAACTTTTGAACTATTTAAACAATGAATACGTTAGATGAGGTCCAATTTCTCTTACATTCAATACAAGTACTTTATGTTATTTTCATAACTACAGATCTAGATAAAGACAATAATAGTACAACTAGCTAAGACATCCCTAAGATAACTAGATATAGCACTAGATATATATTTGACATAAGTCTCTGGCGGCCCTTTGGCCAAAGACCTTCACTCGGCGTACACTCAAAATAAACTGAGAAAAGCCCCTGCATTTACGTGATAAAACTGGCAACATTGTCACAGTTTGCTAAAATATCTGCTCCATCGCTCGTAGAGATGAATTACCTACAACATTCTTGTGTCTAATGGTCAATCTTTAAATTCTGAACCATCCATTCGGAGTTGTTGTTTTTTTTGTCAAAATAATAAATTAAGCAGCAAACAATGACCTGGTCATGCTGGTCCGGATCTATATTTGTGTTGCAGTTCTTGTCTCTGCTATAACTCTGATAAGCTACACAATTTAATCAATGCTGTAGTCAAATCTTGTCAACAACTATATACAAAAATTAAGAAAATGTGTAAGATAACTGCTTATCAAATTTACTTATCGATTTAATGTTTTATGATCTACAAAATTGTGTATCATACTGTTCGATTAGAAGGATAATTGTGCTAAGATATCTTATTATAACATATAACATCCAAAATTAAAACAATCACTGCACTAAAATACTTGTAGTTAACTAAAAAGTAAATAAGATAATGTTCACAGAGTCATCAGTCTGGAAGCTGCACAAACACACGAAACTATTCGCATACATTCAGGGCATTCTCATTTATAAGACTCTTCATTGAGCTTTAAGTCAGGTAAAGATGGTGTAGAAGTAGTATTGCGGGCAACTCTGTCATTATTATTACTAAATTATAAGAGTAATCATCATCTCTTTTTTTTTTTGAAAATAGATTTTTTCTATCTGGTCCGGTCTTTTATGGTTTTAATATTCTAAGGATTTCTTTGTCTGTCTTACTACATATATGGCAGAAGAAATCTAATGGATTATTTTCTCTAATTTTAGGGAAAATCTTCTTAAGGTAGAATTTTACAACATCTTTACCCGATTTCAAGCTATATAACTTTTTGATCAGCTTTGCACCTTCCATTAGGGGAAATGTATAAAGAGAGTATATCGATTCTTCGGCTAATTCTTTAAATGCGGTATCATTAACACCGGCTTCTGCTTCATCAGACATTTGGATAAGCTCTGGGCATTCTAAGAAAGCATGTTCACCGGCTTGAAGACAGTTGTCAATGTCTATAAGTACATTTTCCCTTTCAGTATATGACAACTTATATTTCAGCAAGTTTCTACCTGGTATCATGTAATTCGGAAGCTGTCCTTCATCAACACATTTTCTCAAAAATATAAGTCCGTCTGTTATCCGATCTAAAAGTTTACCTTGCTCAAACTCACAGTTTTGTGTTTTTTCTGACACCCAGAAGACAACATTCTTTATCATATATGATGACATGTTATCGCAGGATTTCCTAAACACGTTTTTAGACAGCATTTTAAGAGCACCATAAACTTTAAGCTGGACATCATTAAATGAATGAGCAAGAACAAGCTCTGCGAGAACTAAACTAATCCTCCATTGTAATACTTCGTCTGCTGTTTCTCCAACAGGTACAACGAGAACATCTACCCCTTTCACTTGTTCCACAATTTCTGAACTCGGCCAATCATGCTCCCTTTTACGATCACACCACTCTTGAATGATAGTCGGGTGTACACATTTAAAACAAAGCACGTTGTCAATTTTAAAGGCGTATTTAGAGAAAGGAACTCGGCATTCGTATGGTTTAGAAGGTCCATCGTCAACATCGTAAATGACACTTTGAGCTAACCACCCAGTCCTTTTTAAATGCTGCATAGCCGATGTTAAGATTTTATCATTGCGTAGAAACGCTTCTCCATTTTCAATGTGTATAGCAGTTTCCATGTTTTGTAGAAATGCAAAGTTTTTAGCTTCAGAAGTTGTTTGTGATTGTTTCGATATTAATTTTAATCTACAATAGCCGTTCGAAGTATTTTGAAAATCAAGCCGAAATTCTGCAGCATATCGAACGTGGGTACTGGGAGTTGGATATGCTGCATAACACATTACTGAACGCTGTATAAAAAGTCTGTCTAAATCACAATCAAAGTAACGACCTATACCTTCTCCACGACTTCCAGCAATGACTAAGTCAATGTCTTCATTTGTTTTCTTCGTGTAAAACAAACTTGCCATTTTGCCAGCATTATCCATAATTTGTATCCGTTTGTTGGCAGACGGTCGTGAATATCCACATTTGTCCAACGCATCAAACGTGTGCTTTATAGACATATTCAAAGCTGCCATTACCTGAATCGTCGCTTGAGAAATGAAATATAAATGAATTTGAATTCATGTTATGTCAGAAACATATCTATATATATATATACATAATATCGCTGATAATATATACATGTATAATCATGGTAAATGTAAGGCAAAGTATTATTTAATTTTTCCTCTTTATTTTATGATAGTTATTTACGATAATAAATCAATATATCTGTCTAAATGTTTGTTGTTATTTTTGTCCACGACAAATATGTACAAGGGGTATCCAAAAATACGTTTACTTTCTTTATATTGAAAAGTCATTTTGAGAAATTTATTTGAAATCTATACACAACCTCACTACTTCAAAGGATTAGTTTTTTTCTAGTTTGTAGAAGAAAATGATAAATAAATTAGATTGCATGTTCAAAGCCGTTTACATCATATAAAGAAATTGCATCAAAGGAACTTTATACCAGCTGCCGGTAAGACCGAGGGTAACTGTTTACGGCGGTAACAATGCTCTGCCGAGTTTCCTTTTAACAGTAACATTTTGGACATATTACATATTCATCAAAATTTGGAAAGAAATTTTGTTATATAAATTCTTATACATGTAATTGCGTATGAATTTTGAACTTCATTTAAAACGGAAAAAAGACGCCATCGTAAGAACGCAATTCATTCATAAAAGGCGCTCGAGGATGACGTCATTTAAAGCAAGCGACTAATCTTATACGGAGAGTCTCAGACAGGTTTGTCTTGCTTCGGTATAAATAACAGATAGATATTCTAGTCTGAAAAGAAAAACTTTAAACGACAATGGCACACTCTGACGTCAACGTGAAAATAATGTAAATAAGCAATATCTGTATCAAACTACTATATAACATTCACTGGTCTCCACATACCATTTGTGGCGTCGATTCCAGCACATATTCGTTTAATTCCTACTTACATACACAATTTAATGATCGGGAGATTTTTCATTCTCAATACATTATCTGTCATTATGTACTTCGTAGCAATAGTGGAGTTTTTTATGAAGTGATATCTACATAAATAAATTGATATGATGTTACTTTGACCCCATTTAACAAATGTACCGCTTTTAGCGGGTTTCTTACTATTTCTTTATTTGCAATAATTGTAAAAGCAAAAATGCGGCTACATATTTTAGCGTGCAACGAGTACCGTTTATTCGAAATGAATTAAAAATAATTATTTATGCATGTATTAATCTGTCGTTCCAAAATTGTCCGCAATTATTTTTTACAATAATTCTAAAAACATTTCAATAAATTTCACTGATAAAATTGCTATTCGTTGAGCTTTACTATTTATTATTATTTTATTATTATTATTATTGTAAATCATTATTACTCACCGATGCAAACCCATCCACTTATTACAAAATGAACAATAAATCCATTTATTATTTTTCACTCTGACGAGAACGCGAGCTCTTTTGATTTGTACTTCGATTCTTGGTTACGCCGAAAGATCTTCAGTCTTGACCACCCCTACTTTAGATAATCTATAAATGAAAAATCGTGTTCCCGTGCGCCAAGGACATTGATAGTAAAAGTTGTAAAAATTACTTCTCAACGGTGTATTAATTTCAGTTTTTGTCGCGTTAGATTTGAATTTACCTATTCAATTTGTTTTTATATACGAAGATACTCTATTAATCTAGAAAAACAACCTTACTACTACCTTAACACATTGTATCTTGTTTAATTTTTACATTGATTGTTTATTTACTATTTCAGTACATTATATACTGTCCGTTTAGGATAATTATTTAGTGACGCGGCGGAAAAAATCCACTATTACGGTGTAAGACAGTTATCATGTTGTGTTTATTATCTGTAGGCACGCAGGCTTCCGATATAAATTAAAATATCGACAAAGCGTAACGCAGTTGGTAACGTTATCAGTTAATCTTTAAGTAATATCACTGCAAACCTATTTCGGATTGTATTTTTTTTCTCGAAAATAAGTTCTATATATAAACAATCAAATACGAATATTTAATATTTTTCTTGGTATTAAGTGTTGAAATAATTTCTCAATTCTCATTTTTTGTATCTAGCAAATTTGTTCAACCTTATCCTGAATACTAAACGTAATGAATACATGTATACAAACTGTTTCAACAATATTTCAGTGGGCACGAAATACTCGTGCACTGCACAAGTATGATGACTACTGCATACTTCACACTATATAGGCTAAAACTATTATTGCCGGTTTTTTGAATAATTAGATAAAGTGTTTACAAATATTTATTTAATTACATTCATTGAAACGTGTCACTCACGATAATCATATGTTTTTGTTATGCAAATCTGATTCATTTCATAACGCTAAATAACTCATAGTAAATTATTTTATAGGTTTACTTTGTCAATGTGTATTTTTTTGTTTTACATTGAATAATTGTTGTTTATATGAGCACATTTAGATGTTTCATCACTGTCCTCACAGTGTACAGTGTTTAAATAAAACTTTATTTTCTGTCATGTAGTTCTGTATATGAGCCTGACATGAATAAAAGTTTATGTTGTTTATGTTGTTTAAAATCTTCCATAATGTCAAAAGGTTATGAAGAATATTTAACCTTCTCCTTGGGGGTAGCAACCTTGATATAACTTGGGGGTTACCAACCTAGATGTTGTGCTCTGCAGAATGTGTCATGGTGGGGATCATTTGTGCCAGCGAAATTTAAAAACCTGTGAATTGTCAAAAGTTTATAGCTCGGACATAAAAAATATATGTTTTAACATGGGACCTTTGAGTGTGACCTTTGAGTGTGACCCTGACCTTTTCAGGGTAGTGACTTGATTGTTGTGCTCTGCACATGGTGTCATAATTGTAATCATTTCTGCCAAGTAATCTTAAAAACTTTCAACATTTTAATGGTTATCGAGCAGACATTAAATGTAGACATTTTTTACACTTTACCTTTAAGTGTAATTTTTACCTTGAGGTAGCAACCCAATTATTGCGCTCTGCATATTGTCTCATTATGGTGCATACTTGCATCAGTTATTTCCAAACAATTTCAGCGGATTAAAAGTTATGGAGCGGACACAAAAGTGTTACGTACGGAAGGACAGACAGACGGACGGAGGTCATTCCTATAATTCTCTCCCCGCTTTGCGGAAGGAGTTTAAATTTCAAAACCTTTGAATTGTTACAACGTTATAGAGCGGACATGAAAAATAGATTTTTAACATCGGACCTTTAATTGTGACCTTTACTTTGAGGTTATTACGCTCTGCGAATCGTCTCATACTGTTGATCTTTTGTGCCAAGTTATTTCATTTTTTTCAACGATTTAAATGTTATATGTTATGGAGTGGACACAAAGTGTTGTGGACGAAAATATAGACAGACAGAAAAGGTGATTACATTTTAAAACCTTTGAATGGTCATAAAGTTAAAAAGGGGACAAAAAATAGATATTTTAACATTGGATCCTTGAGTGTGACATTGACCGTGAGTAAGGGACTTGATTGTTATGCCCTGCACATGATGTCATAATGGTAATCAGTTTAAATTCTATGGAGCGGACGCGAAATGTAGACTTTTAACACTTGTCCTTTAAGTGTGACCTTGTCCTTGGTGGTAGCAACCCTATTAATGCGGTCTTCACATCGTCTCATAATTGTGATCTTTTCTGATATAAGGTTTTAAAGTTATTTCAATTTTTTTTTCAGTAGTTAAAAGTTATGGAGTTGTCACGAAATTAAGACTTTAAAGAATAACCTGTAAGTGTTACCTTGACATTAGGATAGCAACCTAATTATTGAGCTGTGCACAATGCCTCATAATGATGATCATTTGTGCCTAGTTATTTTAATTTTTTTCAGTGGTTTGGAAGTTATAGAGCGGACACGAAATGTAGATTTTTTTGGCAATTGACCTAAAAGCGTGAACTTGACCTTGGGGGAAGCAATCCAATTATTGCAGGCTGCACATCGTCTCATAATCGTGATCATTTGTGCCAAGTTATTTAAAAAATATCAGCGGTTCAATAGTTATGGAGCGGACACGAAGGTATTATAGACGGCGGGACAGACGGACTGACTGACTGACAGACAGAGGCCATTCCTTTAAACCCCTCCACGATGTTTTGGATTATATAAAACATCTGTAATTCTGATATGAATCATGCTTCTTGTTGTTGTGAATCATTTCTTATTACAATGACACTTGATAAAGTATAATAAAAGAAAAATCCGTTTCGTTGTCAGTTGGAACGTCCGGCGACTTTGATTCGATTTGGTTGATCAATATTTTATCAACATTATAAATATGTATCCTTCTGTTCGAGATTATGGTAGCCGATTTATGATGGACCTGTGTTTGATTGGTATCCATTAAAGTAATGTTACGCAAATCAAATGGTATACATTGAGTGAACAGGTGAAAATAATATAATAATCCATTTTGCCGTAATTTCTTTTTGCATGAACAATTAATAACTCGTTTGTCCAAGAAATTTTCTGTAATTATCCACCGGAATTTACTCGTAACGTTTAATTTATGAAAAGGGTGGGGCAGTTGTTTAGATTTAAGACATATTTATGTTTTATCCTTAACATTTTTCATTATCAATTGTTTGTCAATCACTTTTATAACAGTCAATTTTCATGAGTATGTAGTCAATTTACTTGACAATAAAAAAATAGCATTGTATACAGTCACTTTTATGTAATTCAAATACTAAAAAACTGGTACAAAATTGCAACAGATAAAATTTTAGAAAGTAATGGTTTTGCGATTTACCTAATTAAAACGATTCCTTCTAAATTTTATCATAATATTTCTACTTTAATTTTTTGTGTTTTTCATTTAACGAAAAATTTGCAAATTACCGAGTGAAATGAACTAAACTTATCTGAAAAGGTGCATACCCATCAAGTGCAGTCGATGCAAACATGATAAAGGTAAATTTGCATAATAGGTCTGACTGAATTTATTTAGTGTAAAGTGCTTACCTCTAACGCTCTCGTGTTTTATCACTTTATTGCACATACTTTAATAATTCGTGTATATCATATTCTTACTGCTGCGACTGTAAGCTTGAAAATCGATTAAGTCACGTATGTGTAACATTTTCAACTGAATTGATCAAATCAAAAATCATTTATTAAATTTTAATCAAGTCATTAATTTTGTCGACAAATATCGTAAATGCTAACATTGTGAAAAACAAAAACAAAGTTAAAAAATGGAAAAATGTCAATGACTCCAAAATAAGGCAAGGCAGAGTTGCGGTTCTTAAGAATTGCTCTTTAACATAATAATGAGATCTATCTGCCTACAAAGTTTCTGGTTGATACCCCTTGTAGTTTCAGAGTTATGTTACTGACAAGAAAATACGGACAGACGGATGGTCATACGGACGGACATACGTACGGATGTTCTAACGGTACAGTAATAATGTGGCTACTCTATTCTTCTCTCAATTATAACCACACAAAAGAAGATAGCCACATAACAATGACATCAAAGAGAAAGAACAGTTACCTATTGTCCCTCTAGCCACATTATACTGTCTGAGCGGACACACAGGAAGTATAAAAATCTGGTTATGGGAGAAGGTATCATGTATAACACAAACGTTCTACACAGTAAGTAAACATTGTTTAATTATAAAATATCCTGTGCTAAAAAAATGTTTTATCATCACTAATCAACATTGTTGAAGATGCAATATGTGCAATAGAAAAGAAAATGCGACAGTTTTATTTTAAAAGTAAACAGATAAAGTACGGGAAAAGGCAGATCCCTCAGCAATGACTACAATCTTTAAATATGTTCATGCAGTAGAAACACTGTCATTTTTTTACAAGAACAGTTTTCAATTGCTCCCAAAACAAGTCCTGACTAACTAAATCCTCTGTCCATTCAATGTACGTTGTTGAATCAAAAAGACATTTCAAGGAATGATTCATATTTCTTCCATCAATTTTCTCCAACAAAATGACCACTAATTCTGTTTCATCTTCAATCTGTTTAGAATGTGCAATTTTTAATTCAAACATGCACCATCCGCTTCGTGCAAAGGCATTGGTAAGAACAAGTATTACTTTCCTACTTTTGTCCATATTTGTGACAATATTGTCGTTTATAAACACACCAGGCTGAAAATCTCTCTCATGAATGCATAATTTCAGGCCAATTTCTTCCTCTAGTACTGGTAACAGTCGACGGCGTACCCAGGCTGAATCCTCCGATTCATAACCAACAAAAGCGTCATATACAAAATCATTTCCCTCAATAACCTGGTAGTTTCGTCGTTTTCGCATTAAATAGATATAATGTTTAATGTTCCATCGATTCCTATATACAACTATGATGATTATGCAAATAACAATAACACAAGGTGATGCAATGATAGCGACCCAAGTCCACGTGTTCCAGGGATGACATTCTCTGTACGTAAATGATACGTCAGAGAGTCGCTTTCTCGTTTTTTCTTTTGGAAGGTGGCATATATATTCTTTTGGGTATCTTAAAATCGTTCCATGTTTATGTGTTGATTGCAACCAAGCAATAAACCATTCCAGGTTACAGTCACAGACAAATGGGTTCTTGCTGATGTCTAAATGGTGCAGCTTATTAAGAAGTGAAATCGGTAAAGCTGTAGAATCTATATGTCCAAGTTGGTTAAACCGTAGGTTCAAGTATCTTAGGTTCTTCTTATCTTTGAATGTTTCACTACTTAATTTTGATATCATATTTGACCGAAGGTCAATTCTACTTAAATGTTTCATTAGGTTCAAAATAATTTTTGGATCCCACGAAATCAGACAATTAAAGCATTGCAGTTGTCTTAATGTATGAAGCGGCGAAAATAATCCAACGATCTCTTTGTTGCTTAACCGCGAGATAGAAATTCCGTCTATTTTTATTTTAACAAGCTTAGGCAAAAGCTTGAATGTCTGATTCAAGGACTGGAAAACATACAAAGCAGAGAAACGATATTGTAGTGTAAGTGACAAGAGTGAGGACGAGTTAAAGGCAAATGGTTCGACTATTAAAGATCTCGTTCCCGGAATCATTATTTCAACTGACTCGATATTCAGCAAAGCTGACAAGAAATTGTTCGGTAATAATGTTATTATATTTCCATTGAGGTTTAAGTGTCTTAAATGTATTAAACATTTAAGATGTTCAGAATTTATTTCTTGTATGTCATTATCTTTTACACTTAGTAACTCAAGTTGTGGAAAGAAACAGTTTGATGTGTTACCGTTGATTCTGAAGTCCGGGAGTGTTCTCAAGTTATTTCTACCAATGAACAACGAACGTAGATATTTATTTTTAGATAATATAACCTCTGAAATGTGATTATATGTGATATCAAGAACCTCTAGCCGGTTGAAATTCTTGAATATTTTCATATCCAGAATGTCAGTACTATAATTTGAAGCCATCAGTGTTTTAATGTGATTTTCTCTCATCAATGAAAACAAATCTTCGTTGAGGATTACTGTGCGTATTGCAGTCATTTCTATATGGCTCAAGTATTTTTTCTCAGACAATGAACCTAGCAAATGTTTTAAATTGTCGTAGTATATTTGATTGTATGACAAGTATAACAAATGCAAATTAGAAAACACGTCTAGGGCGTTACTTGAAATGTTTCGTATGCTATTATTATCAATATACAGCGCATAAATCAGGAACGGATAGCTGATGTTGACAAAGGTTTCCTGTGAGATATTGGTTAAATGATTGAAACTGAAAACCAAAGTATCTATTTTATCTGTAATCCGAGGTATGAACGTTAGATTTTGGTGACTACAGTTCAGTGTATTATATCCATGATCGACCTTCTGTTTGCAATGTTTCCATATTGACACTTCTTTCTCCGTTTGTAATTGAGAACAATCCATATCCGGGGCCAAACCCCAAAAGAGAATTAAGAAAGGAACGATTTGCATTGTCATCTCAAGAAGCTTGCCATTGACCAAGAATGTTCGTCCAACTGTAAAATAAAATATAGAAGTTTTCGATGTTTAAGACAATCAATTAATTTCCAGTGAGTAGAGATTACATCTAATTGGTATAGATTACATCTAATTGGTATGATATATGATTCACGTGAGTTTGTATTCTTTAGGACAGAGCATTCAGAGGCACTAAAGCGTATGTAGAAATTATATAAATTCAGATTAGATTTCTTACAAACTTTATCATAATTATTTTAAAAAGATGTATCAATATTGTTTATTTAAAACCTTTTTATTAAACTACTTTTTCATTTAAACAAAGTAAAGATTACGCGTTTAACTATCGCAACAAAAACAAACTCAAATTGCCAGTGTGCTATCCCTTAGGCTTTTTATTTGTTTTATTAGTATGATCTCAAATGCTATACGTTACAAAAGCACACTCAAATCTGGAGGCCAATAATGTCCATGAAATGCGTTTATCTTTACTTCTGAAAAGTTTTTGTGTACATTTACACACATGTAGTTGCCAAAACGTTTTTCAATTACCATTTTATCTTCTGTTACTTTTGGCACTTTGTACAGTAATAGTGTGTTAGTATTTTGTATGGATGTCAAAATACTTCTTTTTAATTTTCATGGCAAAGTATTTCGCTTTAACGCTACTGTGTGTCCGAGTTAACAAGCATCTAACAAAGGCAAAATTCGATTCTGAGTTATAATGTGCCTTTAAATAATGTATTACAAAAGTTTTAACTTACATCATTAACGTCAGCTAAATCATTTCTCTTTTGTTAGAGGCAAAAATAACAAAGATTCACTGCGATTAGCTAAAATTGTCTTGAAAAAAAAGTATTATAAAAAGTTTTAACTTACATCATTCAAGTCAGCTAAGTTACTTTTCTTTTGTTAGAGACAAACACAGCATATATTCACTGCGATTTAGCTAAAATTATTTTTGGTTATAAGTACGCGTCTAAATAAAGAAGGTGCTTAAGTGTTGATGTGTATGGGGTCAGATTTTCTGAAAACACAATGATAAACACTTATGTATTCAACAAAGTAAATAAGTAAAACCGTAAGTCAGGCTCATAGTCATCAAACAAATCATGTACATTTGCATCAATATACGAGTCGTACTTTCGAGATATATAATTATTAGAGTTCATTTTATAAAACAGTCAAGCTGAGTAATCAGAAACTTCCGTTTTACAAAGAAAAAACACAATGTATTGTAGTTTAAGTTTCTGTAGCTTAATTAATTTATTGCTATGTATGCCTGTGACAAATTAGTTGAAAACAAAAACAATCGATTAAATTAATGATTAATAATTCTAACTAAGTCACTTATAGATTATCGAAATAACAACGGAAGTAATTGAGTAATATTTTCCTTTTCATGCATTAAATATTTTAAAATTATACCTTTTTAAAGTTAACCTGTTTTTTTCATTTAGAGGCTCGCAAAATATAATTTTATTCAACTCGTTAGATAAATTCAGTAGTGAACATTTACTCATTCAAAATCCTTTATAACTTTCATTGTAGCTTGTCGAAAAATATTAAGTAAACTCCTTTAAGAACAAATCAGTTTGATTTCTTTACCCAATAAAGACACAATAAATGGTTACTTATAAATCAATAAGATACAACAATTTAAATTAAATTCTTAAAATATTATGAATTTAACTATCTTTTAGAAAAGACTAGTTATTTCACTGCTATCATCGGTAATGATTTATGATATGTTTCTGAAAGGAAGAAGCTCAAATTGTTGAACTGGATATTTATATTTAAGTCGATTACTTCTTATTAAATGTAAAAGGTTACAAAAAACGTTATGTAGCATTCATGTTAAATGATTTTAGAAATATTGATATAACACGACTTTTTAAGAGTTCATTCTAATTGTTAGGGAGATTATTTTTAGCTGTATAATTATTGATATTTAAAATTTAAAACTGACGAAAGTCAAGGACAAATATTTTACTAACAGATAATTATGAGTAATAACTTTATCAATGAGAGTTACCTAGCTGTATTTTGGCTTGAGTTTTCCATTTCCTTCTTTGTTATAAAATAAACTATTCAACTATTCTGGAACAGGTAAGAAATGCCGAACTTGAAATCATAAATAGAAAGAATTTCTTCACTAAAGCAATAAAATCTGTCGTTTTGTTAAATGTTTTGATGTATTCCATTAACTTTATCTTAAATTCATATATAACGTTATAATGGTTGTGTTTACAAATGTAATAGGGGTGGTAGGCGCAATTTAGATATATCACTATCCGAGCCCCTGAGGGTCAGGTAGGTTCGGGATTGTTAAATTAATTCAACAAACAGCTATTAACTTCTATCATGTTTATATACGATCCATCTTCAATTACTGTAAGGTTGTTACATCAAGTAAAGGTACAAACAACAGTCTGAAATAAGTATATAACAATATGTAAATATAAAGAAAAATAAAGTAGAAACAATGTATAACATTAATTGATATCATATCTTATGTGCTCAAATATATAGAACATAATCATTTGCATGTCTAGTGGCCAATCAGTCCTTTAAACTTAGCAACTGTCCTTAAATATCATATGCATAGATTATGGAATTATACACACATTTAACATAAATATACATGTATTACACTTTAAACAATACATACAACACATGTAACTTACCATCTGAGGGATGAGTGTAGTACATCAATCTTATAACTGATACTTTCTTTCTATCACACCATTCACTGTTAACTGCAAGATTAAATATTAATCGTGAGTGACTTGGTCCTTCGGCATCACTGATGCCAGCACTATTAAGTGTTGAGAATTGAGTACCGCTCAAGCCGGTGATAGGGGGCGTGAGGGATGTTACACGCATTCATTATCTCTCGTGTACAGACTCAATCAAACCGAGTCTGCAATTCTCTTGTAATTTTGTTGTGATTAATGCTTCCGAGGGATCACTTTCTTTCCAGATTTTGATAGATACATAACATTCTGAAACTCATTCTTATTTATAAATTTCACAATCAATGGACTGGACCAAAATAGAAAAGAATCACAATAAATGCAATTCTCCATATTTACAATAAAGCATTTAGCAGCAGCAGTCAGGATAAATACATACCAACTGAAATAAAGAAATAAATAAAGAACTTGACCACAAACACTAATTTTCTGACATCTCTTATTTACAACAACAAAGGCACAATGGCCTTTCCTACTAAGAAATCACATGACATAAAAATAACTTAAAATCAATGATCCGTGAATTAATCATTTGAATTCTAAGAATACTGACCACAGATCCAATCACAGATCCAATCAATGTAAACATAAGATAAAATCAGTTAAAACCTATAGAGTAATCTCCCTTGAAAAGTATCAGACAAAACCGGCGAATTTGTCTCCCTTTGCAAAATTATAAAATTCAACAGTAAGCAAGAGTTTTGTTCCTTAGACCTGATCTTAAATATAAGACCCTGTTACACAAACTATAATTATTTTATTTGTTTTATCTGTTGTTTAAATCTGTGGTTGTTAAATGACTACGATATTAAGATTCAAAGTCTTGTCGATCATTATGTTTGTTTTCTAATTCGCAAAGGTAGACGTTAAAAGAGTCCAGTGACACATTGATAAAATAACTGATTTCCCTCTATTAGTATAATATGAAACAAAATATTAAGTCATTGAATATTTTCGCACACAAAAGAGATGGATACTTTTGGGAAAAATACAAGTCTGAGGTAAGTCTAGGTTTCTTTGCTATAGTTGAAGTTGAGTAGTAAATGATAGACATAATGAGTAAGCTTCCAAAGCCTTACTTTTTCGTCATTGAGACATTTCGTCAATCGACTTTCAACATTTTCACTCTTTTGTGCCCCTTCTTGTTATTTCGTTTACGATGAATATATTCCCTTTCCCACTAGTTCATTTTCTACAATTCCACTCCCCACCCAGTCCTTGCCTCATACACACCTTTTGTAGGTCTTTTAATTAATGCTCATCGTTAATTACCTTGTCGACATCGCGTCCGTTTTTTGTTTGTTTTGTGTTTTGTTTTTGCGCGTGTGCCCTGTCCTGTTTGGTGTCCTGCTTGTTGGTGGTCCCATGTTTTGGTTGCGTTACATATATTTATTAATCAAATAATATATTGTTTATCTAAATGACGCAATTTATATTAGAAAGTATTTTAAAAACGAATTTGATCAGATATTGAAATCTGATCTCCTGCGTGTTGAGTCTGCCATCTTAAGTTTCATATTTTTCTAGCTGGATGGTTCATTAAAATGTGCAAGTGTTAGAGGCAATGATAGCGGATATCATTAAAATGGTTAATGAAAGAATTATGTTAGCTCTTCAATACAGACAGAAAAAATCAGGCAGCGAAAAAGAACAGCTGAATTCATTACAAGTTGATTTATCAAAATAGAAAAACTGGAATTCCTAAAGAACATAAAAGGCATATCTGTTGATGCAAAATTCTACATGACAAAAGTTCTTCGAAAATAAACAAACACTTTAAAAAACAAAACCCGCAACAATTTTAGCCAATGTCATCTTTTAACTTTACAATTAGGCATCGCTCAAGGCGTATTCCGTATTTACCTGACCTTGCTCCTTGTGAATTTTTTGTTTGCGAAGCTAAGAAATACCTTTCAGGTCGAAAACTTTTCAGCGCAAATACCTCGTGTCTGCAGTATTCCAGTGTATTTATAGTATACAAAAAGGGCAGTCATGATAATAACAACAAGAGGGCCATGATGGTCCTAGATCGCTCACCTGACCTATCAAACTCATCCAAACAATTACCTAGACAAGCATTCTGACCAAGTCTCATGACAGGTGAGTCAAAAATGTGACCACTACAGTGTTAACAAGGATTATCCACATTATCGAACTTGTCTTTGAAATCATCAAAACAAACTTTCAGACCAATTTACAGGATATTTGGATCACAACAGTAGCCACTAGAGTGTTAACAAGATTTTTCTATTTTTAGCTCCTGTGACCTAGTTTTTCATCCGAGATGACTCATGTTTGATTTACTCCCAGCAATGACCTAGACAAGTTTGATGACAATTGAGTCAAAAATGTGACCACAAGAGTGTTAACAAGGTTTTTCTATTTTTAGCTCCTGTGACCTAGTTTTTTATCCGAGATGACCCATGTTCGAACTCATCCGAGCAAGTACCTAGACAAGCATCCTGATCAAGTTTGATGACACTTGTGTCAAAAATGTGACCGCTAGAGTGTTAACAAGGTTGTTCTATTTTTAGCTCCTGTGACCTAGTTTTTCATCCAAGATGACCCATGTTCAAACTTATCCGAGCTATCAACTAGATAAGCATCCTGATTAAGTTTGATGATGATTGAGGCAAAAATGTGACCGCTAGTGTGTTAACAAGGTTTTTCTATTTTTAGCTCCGGTGACTTACTTTTTCATCTGAGATGAGCCATGTTTGAACTCGTCCGAGCTATCACCTATACAAACATCTTGACCAAGTTTGATGATGATTGAGGCAAAATTGTGACCGCTAGAGTGTTAACAAGGTTTTTCTATTTTTAGCTCCGGTGACCTACTTTTTCATCCGAGATGACCCATGTTCGAATTCATCCGAGCTATCAACTAGATAAGCATCCTGACCAAGTTTGATGATGATTGAGGCAAAAATGTGATCGCTGGAGTGTTAACAAGGTTTTTCTATTTTTAGCTCTTGTGACCTAGTTTTTCATCCGAGATGACCCATGTTCGAACTCATCTGAGCTATCACCTAGACAAGCATCCAGCCCAAGTTTGATGATGATTGATGCAAAAATGTGACCGCTAGTGTGTTAACAAGGTTTTTCTATTTTTAGCTCCGGTGACCTAGTTTTTCATCCTTGATGATCCATGTTCAAACTCACCCGAGCTATCAACTAGATAAGCATCCTGATTAAGTTTGATGATGATTGAGGCAAAAATGCGACCGCTAGAGTGTTAACAACTAAATGTGAACGGACGACGGACAATCATCGATCCTAAAAGCTCACCCTGAGCATGCTCAGGTGAGCTAATAAGAACAAAACGTTAACCAATAACAGAGTACAGTCGATACACACATAAAAGGGTGGCTTTTGGTTCTTTAGAAATTGCGTAATATTAATGCAAATTTCTCTGCAGTTTTTAAATGATTATGCTGTTATCATTGCTTCCGAGGGATCACAATATTTTTATACTTCACAACAGTGATTGTCAAGCGACATTTAGTAGCTGTATAAGTTGCCCTGTACACACACTTCTTCAGTGTCGTTATATTTATTTTTCTGTGTATTTGGGATCATTGATTCCTGCATATTTAGCGCTGAAGTTCGAATACAGCTTATGAGTTTGTTGTTTTCATTGCTTCGAGGAGATCTCTTCTTTACCAGATTTTTTTCTAACGGCCTTATTCCTTTCACTTTTTGGCTCATACTAATATCGATAAAATGATTCATGTATTGCAAACTGTAAACTTAAACCAATAGAGTAATTTCATTTATAACATTCATACTCCTCGGAATTTCTACTGAATCGGTCAAATAAATTAACAATATGTGCCACCTTTATCAAATAAGGCATGCGGAAATTTGTTATAACAGCACCACACTAAAGTCATCTCGAAAATTGTGTGCACATCGTTTCTAACTTTTGGGCTTTTATTACAATATCAATTTACATGATCAGCCATTGACAGCTTCTGTTTATTTTTAAAGTAAAATGCATTTGCTCTTATCTGATCTTATGGCAACTGAGCAACCTTAGATGAAATAAAGATCTTCTTAGTAAAAAGTGTTTGTATTATATTGCCAACACTGATTTCCAAATAATTTATTGACAATAAAAGGCTGGGATGATATGATATATTTTCTGATTGAATGTATTTGAACATTCCGAATAAATGAAAAATATTTGTATCTTTTAAGTAAAAAAAAGTACAAAAAATAAGATTGCATTGTTCTATTGTTTCATTATGTGTGTTTGCCCTCGAATTATTGGAAGCCTATATGTAAAGTACTATATGTACTTGTTATTTTGTTCTCCTAATATGTGGGATCTTTCTTTTCAGACCGAATTACCTAGTGTAATTTCATCCCAATTTTATTTCAATTTTCTTTTACTTTTTCTTTTCCACCGGAATCCTTTATTCACATGCTTTCACTGTTGAGTATTGCAAACCACTTTAACCGTTGCTATGGGGCGTGAGAGATGAACTCATTTACACTCTCATGAACAGACTCAATAAAATCGAATATGCGATGTTCGACTTTTTATTTCGTTTAAATTGCTTCCGACCAATCTCTTTTCTTTTCTTTCCAGATGCATCGTTGGTTATTGCGGGGAAAAGTTAACAAACCTGTGTACATTTGTGTACTATCCTTTCTTGTTGCAAATTAATGTTGAAATCTATGTCTGATAAAGTGTCTTATAATGTCAACAGTAATGGCGGAGAAAGGCTGACAAAAACAATAACATTGTAACTTTTATTTGTAAATTATAAGCGGTAATTCACTGATGATATAGATCATTCAATTTAGGTACGTACACTTATTCAATATATAGCTAATAGGAATCATAATAAATATTTACAATGTTGTGATTGACTCACATATTTACAAAAATATCATATTTATGCTAAACATATAAAACAAACAAAAAATAAGAAAAAAAATGATAAAATAGATAAAGTGTGAAACAAATTATATATATAATAAAAAAGAAATATAAAAATGAGTCCACAGAGGTCTTTTGACAGGACGCGACTGGAAATATATGTCTGAGATTTGTGTATCATTTGACGTAGGTCTGGTCAGACAGTTTGTGTGCAAATTTCCAGGTCATGTTCTCACCCATTCTGTCATATCATATAAAAAATCTTCTTAAAAAACAGCGACATCGTTTTGATAAAACACTTTGGTATATTTACCCAAATTGCAATTGCTACTATGTTGTTTCATGGTGGCTGATTGACATTGGATCATGTAAAACTGTGTTTCGTAAAAATGTTAGAATTTTGTTGACATCACTGATTTCATAGATAATTTTCTTTGTTTAATATCTAAACACAGGCTAGTAAAACGACGTAAAAGGGTAGCAGGGCATGATATTTTGTAAGTTTAATGTATATGACCCCTCTTTATTCTAATCATAAACTATGATTTTTCAAATGTTTGCCATCAAAGGTAATCTTAATGTTTTCATTTTTAAAGATAAATATAAAACCGCAGAAAATGATAATTTATAAATATCTTCAATTATTTAATTTTACCCCATATATTAGTCAAATATACTTTGACGACTACGGCTCGTGAAAAAATATGGACTTTTCTCATGTTTCGTGAAAATAGATTCCATATTTCACTCAAACGAAAGAAATATCTTCTCACTATACTTCTTAATTAATAAGATCAATGTCCAACATACAGTGGCTATTATACTTTGTTACGCAATCATTTCACAAGAACAGTTTTCAATTGCTCCCAAAACAACTCCTGACCAACCAAATCCTCTGTCCATTCAATGTACGTTGTTGTATCAAATAGGCATTTCAAAGAATGATTCATATTTCTTCCATCAATTTTCTCCAACAAAATGACCACTAATTCTGTTTCATCTTCGATCAGTTTAGAATGTGCAATTTTTAATTCAAACATGCACCATCCGCTTCGTGCAAAGGCATTGGTAAGAACAAGTAATACTTTTCTACTTTTGTCCATATTTGTGACAATATTGTCGTTTATAAACACACCAGGCTGAAAATCTCTCTCATGAATGCATAATTTCAGGCCAATTTCTTCCTCTAGTACTGGTAACAGTCGACGGCGTACCCAGGCTGAATCCTCCGATTCATAACCAACAAAAGCGTCATATACAAAATCATTTCCATCAATAACCTGGTAGTTTCGTCTTTTTCGCATTAAATAGATATAATGTTTAATGTTCCATCGATTCCTATATACAACTATGATGATAATGCAAATAACAATAACACAAGGTGATGCAATGATAGCGACCCAAATCCACGTGTTCCAAGGATGACATTCTCTATACGTAAAAGATACACCAGAGAGTCGCCTTCTTGACTTTTCATTTGGAAGGTGGCATATATATTCCTTTGGGTATCTTGCAATCGTTCCAGGTTTGTGTGTTGATTGCAACCAAGCAATAAACCATTCCAGGTTACAGTCACAAACAAATGGATTCTTGCTGATGTCTAAATGGCGCAACTTATTTAGAAGTGAAATCGGTAAAGCTGTAGAATCTATATGTCCAAGTTGGTTATACCGTAGATCCAGCTTTCTCAGATTCTTGTTATCTTTGAATGTTTCACTACTTAATTTTGATATCAAATTTGATTGAAAGTTAACAGTGTCCAAATGTTTCATTAGATTCAAGATAATTTTGGGATCCCATGATATCTTACAGCTAAAACAACGCAGTTCTCGCAAGTTATGAAGCGGCGAAAATAATCCAATAATATCTTGGTTGGTTAACCGCAACATTGAAATGTCTTCTATTATCAATTTTCTGAGTTTCGGTAAAAACTTAAAGGTATTATTCAAGGACTGGAAAATGGTCAAAGCAGAATAACGATATTGTAGTGAAAGTGACACGAGCGAGGACGAGTTAAAGGCAAATGGTTCGACTTTCAAAGATCTCGTTCCTGGAATTATTATTTGTACTGTATTGATATTCAACAAAGCTGACAAGAAATTGTTCGGTAATAATGTTATTATATTTCCATTGAGGGTTAGGAGTCTTAAAGATATTAGACATTTAAGATATTCAGATTTTATTTCTTGTATGTCATTATCTTTTACACTTAGTAACTCAAGTTGTGGAAAGAAACAGTTTGATGCGTTGCCGTTGATTCTGAAGTCCGGGAGTGCTCTCAAGTTATTTCTACCAATCATCAACTTATGTAGATATTTTTTTTTTGGATAATATAACTTCTGAAATGTGATTATTTGTGATATATAGAGTCTCTAGCTGATTAAAATTCTTGAATATTTTCATATCCAGAGTGTCAGTAAAATAATTTGTAGCCACGAGTGTTTTGATGTGATTTTCTTTCATTAATGAAAATAAATCTTCGTTGAGGGTGACTGTGCTGATTGCAGTTATTTCCAAGCGCATCAAATATCTTTTAGAAGATAATGAACCTAGCAAATGTTTTAAATTGTCAAAGTATATTTGATTGTATGACAAAACTAACAAACGCAAATTAGGAAACACGTCTAGAGCGTTACTTGAAATGCTCCTTACGCTATTATTATCAATATACAGCGCATAAATCAGCAACGGATAGCTGATGTTAACAAAGTTTTCCTGTGAGATATTGGTTAAATGATTGAAACTGAAAATCAAAGTATCTATTTTATCTGTGATCCTAGGTATGAATTTAAGATTTTGGTGACTACAGTTCAATGTATGATGCCCATGATCCACTTTGTCTTTGCAATATTTCCATATTGACTCTTCTTTCTCCCTTTTTAATCTAGAACATTCCATATTTGAGGAAAAACCCCAAAAGAGGATTAAGAAATGAAAAAGATGCGCTGTCCACTCAAGAAGCTTGACTTTGACCAACAATGTCTTCAACTGTAACATATAATATAAATGTTTTTGAAGTTTTAAGACAATCAATTAATTC